TCTTTTGTTTTTGCTTTTGGCATAAAATTTTTATGGCCCAGTAGGCGTAGGGCGGGGGCCGGGGCAAACGTCGAAAATGCATTTGAAATTGTCATAAATTCGTATTAATTTGGGGGCCGCGCGTAGATTTTATGTACCCAGCACAAGTTTGTGTTCTTTGCCCCTGCCCCTGCTCCTGCTCCTGCTCCTGCCTCAGCCCCTTGTTGCGGTTCTTCGGTTTGTTTGGCTTTGTTTTTAGTCCCTGTTTAGTCGCTGTTTATCTTTGGTCTTGGTTTTACTGACACACACACTCACTCACACATGCAAACACTCATGCATGTGTGTGTTGAGCCCATTTCAAATTTAACGGCCATTCTGTGCGTTCTTTCTGTTCCTTTTCCTTTTCTTTTGCTTTTTTTCGTTTTTTTAATTGCCCTCACATGCAATGCATTGTGTCCAGTCGGTGGGCTTATGAGTAATGTTTATTGTTGTATTTTTTATGACGGTGCCATTTTGTTTTCAGCATTAAGTGATAAGTTTAATGAGTTTTACTTTCGGATTTATGTGTGTGTGTGCGTGCGTGTGGCATTTTAGCATTTTGCGGTGGCAGATTACTCACCTAATCAATGATGCGCTCACAATCTGTTTATTTGATTGCCTTAAGTACTAAAACATAAGCGAATCGAAGTAAAGAGGCCTCTGAATGCATAATAGAAGAGAGAAAACTTTGACGCTCCATTCAAAATGCGCTTAAGAACGCATAGAATCTAGCTTTAGAGAGCAGAGCGATATTCATTAAAATACAAACGAGGTCACAAATACATGCACACGTTCCTAAACACACGCATACACACATACTTAATTGCCATTTGCCGCATGACAACGCAATAAACATTTTGACAGACTTTTTGGCAGCCACGCTCACACACACACACACACACACACACAAACACATACTCAGTCTGAGCCACACGCGCAACAATGCAAAAACTTCAGCTTGACTTTTAAGTGCATTCGGAAAAAAGAATAACAAGAATTTAAAATAGTTCTTAACCCGACACGCCGAATAGGAAACACCCTTGCTCAGAGAGAACCTGCCTATGCAAAGTTTTATT